AGCATTTTAGACAAGCAGTCCCTACATTTAATGAGTCTTTTTCAATGTGCCAAAGCTTAAAAATGGTCATATTTAAATGAAAATCAGAAGTTGTGTGTTGTGTGGTGGAATAATGAATACATTCACATTAGAATGCATCAAGTTTTTCATTTCTATTGCTGAAGCTGATCACAACACGTGCATGTAGATGTTTGCATAATTTGAGGCTGAATGTGTAAGAAATGAGCAAGAACAGTTAAAGTGGAATTGTGTTATGAGAAGCAGCAGCACCACTGCAACATGATTACTGCCTCTAACGCCACTTGACCTACGACTTGCAACAATCTGTTGGTCTCTCTTTGATCATTTTATGAACTGTTTATCATTTTTGTGCAACTAGATTAGATTATATTTACCCAAACTTTGCTTGTGTTCATCATTCTGACAGTGATGAGCTGTAAACTGATTCATTTTGACACATGGAAAAACAAGAATGCTGAAGACGTGATTAGCACAATTTCTTTTTTTATGGAGATAATAGGCTGTATTTTGCTTCTTTCAAGAGCTGGTTTTAATAGAATGAGGAAAGGTGTAAATTTCCTCCCTCCGTCTAATAGCAGAAGCTGTGTTTCTTCCCTCCACCGCTGACTTGACAACTGATCTGCTCATCAGTTGTAGCTTTTGTTGTTATGATCGGCTGTGATCATCAATTAAGACATTTAAGTAGATTTTTAAAAAACAAAAAACATCTTGTATCTAATTAGTATTCTGCAGTTATTAAAAAGCTCTCGGTGTGCTGAAATGTAGTAAACTTTTAATGTCATTGGCAGGCTGAAGTCTGGATTGTAATAATATATATATATATTTGACAGAAGCGGCCTTGTAAAATACTATGAAATTGATTCTTTTTTCATAGATCCCACAAATCAATATCAAATGCACAAAGATTCAAATGATATTGAATGTGCTGTCTTTGCAACACAGCTTTATAAGGCATGTCAATTGTTTAGCTTAAGTGATATAGTGTGTAAATAAAGAAATTGGCTTATTTCGAGGCTTATAAACCTTAACTCACGCACGGTGTCAAATATTTCTCTATATGGAGTTTAATTCTTATTGAAACTAAATGTGAACAGCCAAGTTAATGCAAAAGAGTAGCTACACTTGCCTGCAGATAGATCTACATTTGTGTTTTAATATATTACAATGAACAAGATGTACAAAGAAAAAAAAAAGTGACGTATTAGGATTTTGGGTCGAGGATCTCATAGCGTGATTAGGTTCATTTTGTCGACTCTGATTATATCTGATTATAGGTGCAGGCTGATAAAAAAAAGAAACTGTATACCTCAAGGATCTTATGTTGGATCAAAATGATGAAGAAACTTATGTTAAGGTATTTCATGCAAGTATTCTCTTTTAATCCAGACAGGCAACAAAGAGAAAATGCTAAAATATATTTAGTACAGCTGCGTGGGTATTTGTTAAGTTACCATTTGTGGTGTAAGGAGTCACATGCATGCGTGAGATCGATTTTGACATCAGCAGATAGATAGAGAGTCAAAATCCTAACTAAAAGCTGAACTAACACTAAAAATTAACTGTAAACATATGCAACAACAGCACCTGGTAACTGTCTATGCAAGTGTGGTCTGGACTGCATATTGTGTTGTCCTTATCACTGGAATTGCATTGTTGGCCACTGGTATATACAGCATACAATTAAAGTGAGCACCACCTTGTGCAATATTACTTAAACATCAAATGATGTCAAATTGCTTCACCTTACAATAATCAAAGTTGAACAGCTGATATTTGTTCTTATGTGAAAATGAAGAAGTAACAGCTAAGATTTAATATGAAAGGTACAGGCCCCACACGAGTAAACAAATGCAACAAAAGCCAGTACATATTTTATTATTGTGACTCAGATGTCCACCTTGTTTTTTGATGACAGACTCAGTCCTCCTCAGTATGGAGGATGCTACATTTCTGGAGAGATGTTCTGCCATTCTTCAGACTATTTGTTTCACCTTCTCTTTGCTAGAAATTTTGTGTTGCTCTGCTTTTGTCTTGAACATGAAAAATTAAGTAGATTCCTTTCACACAACATACTTGCCCAGGTCATTGTTTTGTTGTGTGATTGTGGCAGCGTGCTGTGGATGGCTATCATGCTCATCTGCTAAGTTACTGCAGACTGGAAGTGATCTTGTCAGCCATTTTTTTGGTATGTCCACAGGCATTCATGGTCCTTCTATAAATGTCATCTCTCCCCACATTGTCACACTCTCACCTCTGTGTTTCACTGCCGGGACTATGCATTCACTGTAATGGTCTTTGCCAGGTTCATGTCAAACATGTTGGGGCTGCAGGGTGAATCGGTGGTTAGCATCATTGCCTCACAGCTAGAAGGTTGCTGGTTCGTGTCCCGCTGAGGACACCCGGGATCTTTCTGCGCGGAGTTTGCATGTTCTCCCCGTGGGTTCTCTCCGGGTTCTCTGGCTTCCTCCTTGAGGTTAATTGGTGATTCTAAATTGTCCGTAGGTGTGAATGTGAGTGTGCTTGGTTGTCTGTTAAGTGTAGCCCTGTGATAGACTGGTGACCTGTCCAGGGTGTCCCCTGCCTTTCCTCTAAGTCATCTGGGATAGACTCCAGCCCCCCTGTGACCCTAGTGAGGATTAAGCAGTATAGATAATGGATGGATGGATGTCAAACATGTTGAACTCCTTCTGAGCTGAACAAATTTATCTTGTTCTCATCTGCCAAAGAGGCTTCCTTTCCTATTATTTAGCAAAATTTCATTTTGTAGTTTTGTGCTGAGGTGCAAGCAAGGCTTTTTTTTTTTTTCCAAGACGCCATCCATAGAGGTTGACATTATGTGATATCCTTCACACTGCCTGACCTGTCAGAGAAATTCTGATTTCCATTGATAACCTCTTTGTCAAATCTGAAGCACCTTTCTTTCTGTTTTTCAGAATGTGATTGTGCAGGTAGCGCGCTGTTTTAAGCATCGTTTTCGGAGGATGGTCACTGCAGCTCCGATTAGTGGTACTATGGGTCATTCTATACCTCCTGATTACTGCTGCAGCAGTATTTCCACTGATCTTTAGCAGCTTAAGGAGCTTCCTGTGTCCTTTTTCATCTTTGTGAAGCCTCACAATCAGATTTTTCAGTTTCTCTGTCAATTCTTTTCCACATGGAGCCAGCTGCAGACATGTACATAGATACAGAATCATCTTTCTCTTAAATAAGATTGCATGTGAACTCACTTCTGTAGCATACTCTAAGTATACAGTAAATTGTAATTAACAGTAAGTAATTGGATAATGTCAAAAATACAAAAAGCCCAACACCTTTATGATTTGAATTCAGAAGGGAAACAACAGACACAACAGACTCTGTCAGCGAGACGTGACTACTGTCTATCCTAAGCTGTGTCAATAGCAAAACTCTGTTTGTTGCATCTCAGTATGAAATCATGTTGAGGTTAAAGGGAGAAAATTCAGCAGGCAGAATTAGCAAGGGGCATATAATCTCACAAACAGGTTAAATCAGTGATTGGACATGGCCAGTGGTTGGGCAGAACCTGCCTAATGCATGAGTCAGTAAGTTGGACAGCGTCTTCACTCCTGGCAGCTGCAGAATCAGAATCAGGGCCACGCATCATGTGGCTCTGACACAAAGTTCCTGCTACTAAACATTTAAAATCATTGTTTAGTTTTTTTTTTTGTTTTTTTTTTAATATTAAACTCATACCACTGAGAAAAAAGTATGCACTTGCAGCCCACCACTACTGTGTTCCCAAAAGGAGCTAAATGTGACCTCTGTCGGGAGCCTTCACCAGCTTTACTTGGCAGAAATGACCAGACAGTTGCTGAACTGAATGTGCTGGCAGGAGGTGAACTCCAGCAGCCAACACAGCACAGGACAGAGGTTGGAATTTGCCAGTCTGTAACGAAATCCACACAGGTGAACAAAACTGCACATGAAAGTAGCCCATCTCAAATGGTTGCTGTTAGTGGTTCTGATATTTTCCCATTTGTATTTGCATTATTTTTTAAAAGTGATCTTACAGGTTGTTATCTTGTTTTCTAGTATCTTATATTTTTTGACTTTGCAAGTTCTATCCTGTTTTCTGTTTTGCTTTTTTGCACATATTTTTGTCATGACATAAATACATAATAATATCAAAAGACATTATTGCTCAGCTTTATGCAACATAACATAAACATTATGTAGTAAATGAAGGCCTCAATAAAAAGAGAGAATTAGGAATTAAGGAAACACTATCATAAATAAGTGCAAACACCAGAGGTATGATCAGTCAACATTTAGAGGAGAAAAACAAGTTAATAATAATTAAAAAAAAAAAATAGGATAACAGAGAGATAAAATAGGTTATAATGCATAAATACATAGACAGATAAATAAAAATCATATAGTGAGAATAAGAATAAGAACCACCACTATCAGAAGACCTCAACGTTTTCAAAAGTCAATAGGATAAAAGCAAATCTGATATATAAGTAGGTCCAAGACCATTTATGGTTTTACAAGCAAATAAAAGAATATTAAAATAAATTCTACACAAGTCAGGTAGCCATATTTATTGTACAATTTTGAGAAAACCTCTAATTTAAATGGGCTATATACTCATGAGAAACCTATAAGTACCACATTGTTATTAAACACCTTCGAATAATTGCGATTAATTTAGGCATACTATCTCATTATTACGAGAAGGCTGGAATTCTAATGTTGCTCGTAACTATGTGAAATCTTGTCATAGTTTTAAGTAAGTGTAGAGTCCTAATAACCTGAGTGATCACGGCTGACTTATTTTCATTGTTTATTTATTTTCTACATTTAAAAATGTTGCTATTTTAAAATACAGGTTAGGGCCAAATGTAACTAAAAGCAGCCCAGCGGACCAGACCACTGTTTTTCCGACTGGATCTGTCATTCAGACCCAAACACTCGATCATGATCTACTCCAAAGATCGATTTCTCTGCGCGCAGCTTGTCACCACTGACTTCCACCTGCACACCGCTGGTTCCCACAGTTAGCTGGCGACAAGAGGCTACTACCGAGCACTACACATCATCCACGGCCATGGCAGATCCAAGAATACGGCAAATTAAGATTAAGACCGGCATCGTTAAGAGGTAAGACTGGCTCCGCGTTCCAGTTAAAGAGGAATTAGATTTGTGCCACGCACGCTACTTGCAGTAGCTAACAGTAGGCTAATGCTAATGAGCTAACTAGCTTAGTCAGGCGGACAGGCCGACTTGACGGAAACGTAGCCGTGCGTGAAAGATTGTCTGTCGGCGAAGTGTTAACTCTACTCCGGGGTTGGAGCGCGGCCTACTTTCAGTGGCTAGATGGGGAAGCAGTTGTGATTAGTTTGCGGGTGGGTACTTTTCACGTCTAGTGTGATATAGTGTACAGTGATAGTGTCATCGCATTCTTGACGATAGCGTTGTACGGTTATAATAATGCGTTAAATTTAACTTAAAGCGCAGCTTGACTGTTGCTAGTTGTTAGCTACGCAGCTAGCACAGTGTAAAAGGAGAACTGTGCGTGAGGTAGCCGTCCCAACATTTTCACTCTAACTGTCCTGCGTTCTGGTAGAAAAGATTTGATGGTGATTCATCTAACTGTATCGAACACCGCTTTATTTAGCATTGTATTTGTATTTCGATATAGCAAGATATACCTTCAGCCAGTCTGAGCTGAAGGTTTATATGTGTAGTGATGTAGGAAATACCTGCAGAGTCATGATACAACAATAAGGAAGTCTCCATCATGTGCTGTTACTGCCAGAGTGTCAGAGGTTATCACGTGGCTCTGAGGCTATTGAACACACTGTCACGAAGTACAGAGGCATTGTTAGGATCTTGGAACATTGATTTAGTCTAATCCAGAAATCTAACCTGATAACTGCACTATTTTTAAGCTGTTTTTGGGGCGAAATTAATATAAAATATAAGATGCTGAGCTCTTGGGAAAGTACGAATATCTCACTTTATTTTTATGTTTACTCCATGAAAAAGCATTAATATCACAGTGATTGCAATGCTGCTTGACCTGTGGTTCTCGAACTGTGTGCCTTGGAATAAATCTTATTTATGATGACTTTCAGCTATAATCATATGTGAAGGTGTTCCACAGAAATATTTGTTCTTATAAGTGGTGTGCCATATGACGAAAATGTTTCTGAACCACTGAACTAGACCAAAGTTGACAGCTTTGGCTACCAGCTAGAATGAGATTAGTGTATCTTATAGGTTATTAATACTCAATAGTTATTTAATTCAGGCAGTAATCTGTATGACCAATTCTTTAAATAGTTCAGGAGAAGAGATGCAGATGCAGGCGCTGGTGAGGGGAAAGTTCACCCATAAAATCCCATAACACATTAACCTAAATAAAGGATAATCAGGCTGAATCTTGTGTTTATTTGAAGCTGACATAAAAAAAAAAAAACTGACAACTCTGCCCAAGTTTAGTCTATTGATAGCTCCTGCGTCTGTATTTAGAGAAGTTAACTTTAGGTCGACTTCTTCAGCCTCAACTGTACCTCTTCATCCTTTTGTTTTTTCCTCAGGCTTACAGTGTTGCCTTGGGGAATTAGTTCACTAACCACTGCCAAATGTCAACAATGACAACCTCTGTAACTGTTGCACTGTCTCACATGCTCATAAAAAATGTGCTAAGTGGCACGAAGTTGATTTGCTGCTTGGACTATTTGCACTTTTGATTGATGATATGATATTTAGGGGTTTAATATCTGATGGATAGGTGAATTAATGGATAAAACATTCGAGGCTGTGGCCAAACAGCA